CGCCTCGCCGGCCGCCGCGCCGCGGCCTTTCCCTCCCAGGCCGCGCACCACCACTCCGTCAGGAGCAAAGGCGGCCCCGTCGCCCAGCAGCTGGCCCAGCACCCGCTGGACCAGGAATGAACGGGAGAATGTCCACCACGGCACCCCAGGCTGATACCCGCGTGCACGGCCCTCAAAGCTCCAGGCTGCGCTCGCGCGCCAACGCCACTGCGAGGTCGTCACCCGACAGCACCCTCAGCTTGCTTGGCAGCTCGGAGGAGGACGGGGACGGAGAGGGGAGATGGGAGAGAGAAGACGAGCAGAAGAAGCAAGAGGGGGAGGAGGGAGGAAGGGGAGGAGGGAGGAGGAGGAGGAGGAGGAGGAGGAGGAGAAAGAGGAGGAGGAGGAGGAGGAGGCGAAAGAGGGGAAAGAGGAGGTCGGTCGGTCGGTCGTTGCAAGATCACGCTACTACAGGTTAAACCTCGTATCCTGGGCGTGCAGAACTAAACTGTCGAAAAGGGGTTACGCTGCTCAGGCATTTCCGCTGCTGTCCCGCTTACTCACCCGACTCAGCCATTGTTCTGCGCATTCCTCACTTCGCTCGCCGTCCCGGGCCAGAATAAATCAGTTTGTGGCCAATATCCAGGGGAAGCTCCTACCGCCACACTGGCAGTCGTCCAGGGTGACACTGCGAGCCGTACAACGTTTCCAAATTATGCAGGTACGCAGAGCCGCGACACACCAGCGCCTTGCCTACCAAGTGCTGTGGAGCACGAGATCACTACCTGCCCCCGCCAAGCGCAAGTACTTACCACGTGGTCGTGCGCGCAGATGGCGACCGCATTCGGTTGCGAATACTTGCTCCCAAGCACACTATAGCAGCACGGTGGTGGTGTATACAATCGATGGGCCCACCTGGGAATGTTAGACAACACCCCGAAATATGCACCACGAGAACATGTTGTTTTTGCTCGTGCAACCGCGTGCCCAAATGACGTTGCACACTCGACATGTCATTATTATCGCGACGTTTGACGCACCATGCGACCCACCGCCGAAACAATGCGATCAACCCCCATGACAGAAAACCAGCCCGCGGTGGTGGTGTATATGTGTGGGTCCTGGACACCGAGGGCTTCGATAGAATACCCGACCAAAGATTGGGAACTGCACTGCCTGATGCAAACGGCCTCTTGCTGTGGAAGGCCACATGCAAAAAGAGAGCTCGACGCTGAAACCTGCATGTTGCAGCAGCTCGCAATAATACCTCACCATCATCGCTCGCAGTTGGCGCGCACTCGTGGCCAAGAGCCAGAAATTGCCCGCGTATCTGAGCAGCGAATCGTTCCGTCCCCTGCCGTGCTATTTTGAGCGGCCGTTGACCACAGCTGGCAGGGAGCACCTCCAAATATCTATGCGAAATCTCTACGCTCCAATTATGTCGCCGCATATTTCACACAAGGTAAAATCACTTCTGTGTCCATTACAAAATTGAAATTCTCGGGTGTTTCGGGATCGCCTGCCTTGAAACATGGACCGCGAGCGTGCTATCTGGCGCCCCGGGTAGAGGCCAGGAAGTTTGACGACACCCCGACCCTGGCGAACTTCACGAACATATGCTGCGGTACCGAATCTCGGTACCTCTCGCGCCTCGAAAGAGCGACCCCAAGCATGATGATCCACAGTATAATAAGCTCTGAATAAAAAAACACCATCTAACAAGAACGCGAGGAGGAGGAGGAGGAGGAGGGCGAGGACGAGGAGGAGGGGGAGGAGGAAGAGGGGAGGGAGAAGGAGGGAAAGGGACGAAGAGGAGGGCGAGATGAAGAAGGAGGAGGAGGACGACGATAAGCAGCAGCAGCAGCAGCAGCAGCAGCAGGAGCAGGAGCAGGGGAGGAAGAGGAGGAGGAGGAGAAGGAAGAGCAGGAGGAGGAGGAGGAAGGAGGAGGAGGAGGAGGAGAAGAAGGGGAGCAGGAGGAGGAGGAGGAAGGAGGTGGAGAAGGAGGAGAAGGAGGAGGAATAGGAGGAGGAGAGAAGGAGGAGGAGGAGAAGAGGAGGACGAGGAGGAAGAGGAGGAAGGAGGACGAGGAGGAGAAGGAAGAGGAGGAGGAGGACGAGGACGAGGAGGAGGAGGAGGAGGACGAGGAGGAGGAGGAGGAGGAGGAGGAGGAGGAGGAGGAGGACGAGGAGGAGGGGGGAGGAGGAGGACGAGGAGGAGAAGGAGGAGGAGGAGGAGGAGGAGGAGGAGGAGGAGGAGGAGGAGGAGGAGGAGGAGGAGGAGGGGGGGAGGAGGAGGACGAGGAGGAGAAGGAGGAGGAGGAGGAGGAGGAGGAGAAGGAAGAGGAGGAAGAAAAAGGCGAGGAGGAGAAGGAGGAGGAGGAGGAGGAGCAGCAGCACCAGGAGGGAGAACGGGAGGAGGAAGAGGAGGTGGAGAAGGAGGAGAGGAGGAGAGGGGGAGGGGGGGAGAAAAGGAGGAGGAGGGGGAGAACGAGGAGGAGGAGGAGGAGGAGGAGGAGGAGGAACAGGAGGAGCAGCAGAAGCAGGAGGAGGAACAGTTTGTTTTTGAAGGGAGGAGGCGCCACTCCGACAAGCAACAGGCGGCCCGTGTAGAGTGGACCAGGACCGCTGGGAACGCGATGATCAAGAGGTATAACTTCAGACACCCACCAACTGCCGTAGACGAGCATGTTTTGAATATGTCCTGAGGCACCGCCGTTGCAGGAGGGCGAAAATGCCTGAATATTCCAGGAGACGCCCACCAATGCTCAAGGGACACCCACCACTGCACGTGAGCGAACATGTTTGAAATACACCAGGGGGACACCACCAATGCAGAAGGCGAAAGCGTTTGAACTATACCAGGAGACGCCCACCTATGCACGCAGGAGAACATGATTGGAATAGATCCAGAAACCCCCACCATCGCAGGAAGGTAAACACCCTGGAAGGATATCAGGAACCCCATGACTGCGATTACTAGAGCATGCTTAGAACAGATCTAGACACCCACCGAATCAGGAAGGCCACCATCCTTGTCGAATAGCGGAGACCCCACCATTGCAGGCAGTTGGGCACTACGACAAGGAACGCGGCATTGGTGCTGGCAACCGTCAACACGAGAATCGGGTGGCCCCAACGGGACTGCGGGGTTGCCACACTCACGAAGCTGTGATTTCGGCCACCTCCTTCGCGCCATCAAGAAACATATCAAGGTTCAAACAAAAGTCAGGAAATACTGACGTGATCCGCCCAAACTGGCCCAAGTGCGACCCTCCGAGGAATGTGGCAAGACGTCCAATGAACAATGAAAAGGGCCAGCAAGACTGTGCGCACATACGCCCAATCGGCTCATCAACGTCATCGATCGGAAGCACCCTGGCCAGTCAATCTCACGCACCACCGTAGAAAGGACCCGCATGGATGAGCGCCTCACGAACCACCTGCACAGAATGTGGAGAGGAGGGCACCCCTTGTGATTGTCAGCGTCGCGAGCACTTGTGGGAAGAACCTCATGAATGACACGTTATAGAGCCGTTCCAACACGCCATATACTTCGGTGACACAACCAGCCAGGCGGTGAATAGCGACAGCACCGCGAAGGATATGCGCATGTAGCTGCTCGACGACACGACCTGCATCAGGGACAGGGCCTAACTCTCCCATGGGCCACTGCAGCAACTAAATTTGCTCTTTCCCCTCGGATCGCCAGAATCTCACCGCGCGCGCGACTCCGCGACAGCCCTCCAAAATGTCGTGAAAGCCCTTGCCACGGAGAGGCCCCGGGCGATACTCCTCTGGCCCGGGGTCACCATCTCCGGCGCCAGGATGAAGAAAAGTAGCCCCAGAGACGGCGCGTGCACCCCGCCCACCAGCAACAGGGACACCAACAGCAGCGCCGCGAAGCCCGCGCGTTGGTAGGAGCGCGCCCCCAGGTGCCGCAAGCGCTTCGCACCTACCTCTGCAATCTGCTCCGACACGCCACACTGACAGTAGGCAGCAGCACCGCTATTGAACGGAACGGGTGGTACGACAGGGAATCCCAGCGTGTCAACTGCACCACTCAGAACCTGACCAGTTGGAGATTCAAGAGTGGCAGCAGGACGAACGTGAAGCGGGCGTTGTCGCGGACGCTTCTGATCAGGATGCACTCTCGAAGAGATCCCACTGCGGCAACCACCACCCCGAACACAAGAAGCCCATGGATCTTGACCATCGTGCCAGGGGTCCTCACGGCCACCGCGCGATCAGGTCGATCATCGCCATCATTTCCACCACTGTCATCATCACCTGGGACGCCATCGCCAGAGCCGTCTTCGTGTCCAACATCGGGACCTCAGCGCCAGGCGGCACCTTGAACACGCGAACGTGCAGAGAGATGTTCCGCAGGGCCTCCGATGGCCACTATCCACAACAACGAGACTGTCTCAGGGACTGCATCAGGTATCAGGTGCTGGACGAGATGGCCCGCCGAGAGGCTCTGCATTCCCACCCCGTGCTCCTGTTCCAAAAGTGATGTGCAGCACGAGCTTGCTGGCGTAGGTGTCCTTCATCCTGAAGAGGGACTTGAACGTATACTGCGTTTGCGGCGTATCCCTGAAAGCATGCCTGTTTCAGTATCTGTTGTGTACAATTCCAGCTTCTGGCTTGTCCACACCGCTTGTGTGTTTCTCTGTGTGCTTGGTCGACGAGCCAAGCCGGCCTTGCAGCGGACACTGCACACGAGGGGGGGAAGAACGCAACCGCACAGGAGAAGAAAAGGGGGGGCCGCACGCGCGGCAAGTGCCTGACCCCGAATGGCTAGGAGGAGGAGGAGGAGGAGGAGGAGGAGGAGGAGAGGAGGAGGAGGAGGGGAGGAGGAGGGGAGGAGGAGGAGGAGGGGAAGGAGGAGGAGGAAGGAGGAGGAGGAGGAGGAGGAGGAGGAGGAGGAGGAGGAGGAGGGAGGAGGAGGAGGAGGAGGAGGAGGAGGAGGAGGAGGAGGGGGAGGAGGAGGAGGAGGAGGAGGAGGAGGAGGAGGAGGAAGGGGGGGAGGAGCGTCGGGAAGGAAAGGGACGAGGGGGAGGAGCAGGAGGGGAGAAGAGCGGGGCGGGAGGGCAGCCGCGAAGGGTCAGTACGACGCGTTCAGGCGCGAGGCCGTTGCTGGGACGCCTTCCTTGGAGCCGCCTCGCGTCTCTGTGCGGCATGGCACGCCCCGCCTGGCTCCACGTCCCTCCCCTGTCTACGATGGGACGCACAGAGGCATACTAATACTAGATGTCCTCCTTGGAGGCGCGCGTCCGACCCGAACATATAGTATACCCATCTTGTAGTATATCGTTTCCCGAGCGGTGTGGCCAGAATGCGCCCGCCGCGACGCATATACTATAAGATTTCTCGGTGCGCGCGTCGCCCCTGGGGGGGCGACGCACATATAGTATAAGTATGTTGGGGTGTTGCCGACTCCACGTCCCTCCCCTGTCTACGAGTTCGTTCCGGGCTCAACGACTTCTGGCGTCTCTCGACTCGCGCCGGAGCGGCCAGGACTTGCCCCATCCGTCCCCAGAAGATCTCTGGACTCACATGGATCTGCCTGGACTTCTCCGACCTTACCCAGATGTACCTCGACTGATCTGCAATTACGGTCGGACCTAGACCAGAAGGACATCCTTCAAGAACATGGGACCCTCCACCGGCCAAAACACAGAGCATCCAAAGGTACCCTCCCCAGGATGCACAAGAACATCCAGCGAACACGAAGAACATCAGGGCACCCTCCCCGAACCGACCTCGATCGTATACCTCGGTGCGATTGCACCTCGATCTATCCGGCTCGATTCCCGCAAGCCGAGTGGCGAAAAGTCATCAGGCCCTTAAGGACAAATGTCAGGGTTCGCCCTCGACCCTCAGAGGACGAGTCGAAGGGGCCTCTGGAGGCCTCTGGTGACCTCTGGGGACCTCCGAGAGACCTCTCGAGGCCGGGATCCTGGGCGGCGGCAAAATGTACCACCTCCAGTCGTCGTCGAGGCCCTTTTCTTCCCGTTCCTCCTCCCCCCTCCTACTCCTCCTCCTCCTCCTCCTTCTCCTCCTCCTCCTCCTCCGCCTCCTTCTCCTCCTCCTCCTCCTCGTCCTCCTGCTCCTCCTCCTCCTCCTCCTCCTCCTCCTCGTCCTCCTCCTCCTCCTCCTCCTCCTCCTCTTGCTCCTTTTCCTCATCATTCCCCTCCTGCTTCTCCTCCTCCTTTTCCTCCTCAAGATGAGACAAAAAGGTGGTGCCGATAATTTGCGCGGGCATGCGCCATATTCCATATTCGCACCCCCTGCATGACAACAGCCTCGGAGATACTACAGAATCTGACCTCTCCTGGGCACAACCTTCCCCCGACGCCGACAGCGCGAGATGGCCAATGCATAATCGATATACCAGAATCCGCTGGCCCCCTTAGGGGTGCGACGCTATGAAGCATCCTGCTGGACCAGTGTTTCCGGCAGTTCCCCAAACAGTGATTGCACTTAGGGGTTCTTCCTTGTTCCCCGAACAGTGCTTGCACTTAGGGGATCTCATCTCTCTCCTAAAAAACTGGGCCTGTGCGTCGGTTTGGCGGCCAAGTTACCGCCGTCGCCGCCCCGTCGCCGCCCGACGTCTGGGGTTGTGCGTCGGTCTGGCGGCTATGTTGCCGCCGTCGTCGCCCCGTCGCCGCCTGGTCGCCTCCTCGTCGCCGCCTGACGTCTGGGGCTGTGCGTCGGTCTGACGGCTATGTTGCCGCCGTCGCCGCCGCGTCGCCGCCCGACGTCTGGGGCTGTGCGTCGGTCTGGCTGCTATATAACAACCGTCGCCGCCCCGTCGCCGCCTCGTCGCCGCCCGACGTCTGTAGCTGTGCGCCGGTGCACCGCATAGGTTCTCCTTTTCTACAAAGATACTAGGATCCCCCCCGGATTTAACCGCCCCCTTTTTCATATTGCAATGTACATATGTTTCTGCCCGATCGCCCATCCGATATTCGAAATCAGACCATCCCAGAAAGGCCAGCAACGCCCCCCTTTTATCCTCGGCATAGAAATTATATGCGCGCACGCTCGTTCTATATATATATATATATATATGTATATATATATGTACACATATATGTGTATGTATATCTATGTATATAAAAGTTTTTGATGACAGTTATAATAATAATAATAATAATACTAATAATAATAATAAGTTTATGTTTTGCTAATAGTTTATGTTTTGTGTTTACATGATAACAAAAAATATGCATATGAATGTTTATGATAATGCGAATGATGATAATATGTTTATTTAATATAAATAATTATAAGTATATATAAATATATAATTATATATATGTATGTATGTGTAACTATATATATATATTAAGTCAATTATCAAAAATCCATAGCAACAGCAAACGGCGTGCACACGCGCGCGTCGTCCCGCGCGCATGCCTAAAACTCTCAAAAAGTGTAGGTTCGTCCACATTTCAAAATCATGTGTCCCAAAAGCGTATAAATAAACAATTGGTTTCGCAACAATGATTGTCAAAAACAACTTGCGCGCGCGCTTTTGCAAATCATTTTATGACAACAAAAAACATTGGTAGCTCAACATGTCCATAAGATGTTACCAATAGGGCTTCGCGCGCGAGCATGTCGAAATCGTTCGGACACCCTTGCGCGCGTGCCGTCGCGATAGCCCCTTGCAAAAGAAAGGGACGAAGTGCACACGCGCGCGTCGTCGCGCTTCATGCCGAAATCCTTCAAAAACCATGGGTTTCGTCAGGATGACCAAAACCGAATGCCCCGAAAACATACAAAAAATATGGCTTCGCAACACGGATGTTCAAAAAAACTTACACGCGCTTGTTTGCGAATACTCACGAAAACCAGAAGTTGTTTACATTTTCACTGAATTATGCCATACGGCCTCTCGCGCCGCACGTCGAAAACATTCGGACGCCCTTGCGCGCGCGCGTGGGGGGCACGATCCGTGTCAAAAAAAGCCATGCGGGCCACTCGCGCGTCGGCCGCGCTCGCATGTCGAACATCCAAAACATTCATCACCGACGCGAAGACGTCATCCTCGTCGTCGGCGTCATCAGCATCGGCGCCGTCACTAGCCGTGCCGGCGTCGTTATCAACATCGTCACTAGCATCGCTACTATCATCATCGTGTGTACCGTCGTCGACGTTGTCATGATACTGCGACCACCCAAGCCGCCGACTCGCACTGAAGTGCCCGCTGGGATGTACCCGGCGGTCAGCGCCACCGCGGCCGCGTCGCTCGCGTCAAAATAGCCCTCCTCCTCCTCCACCTCTTCTTCATCCCGAACTTGCGAGAATGTCTTGTGCGAAACGGGCCGGACCACCTTGCACACGGCATCTCAGAGCTCAGAGTTGCGAGGATGTCTCGGGCGAGACGGGCCGGACCACCTCGCGCGCGGCATCTCGGAGCCCAGAGTTGCGAGGATGTCTCCAGCGTAACGGGCTGGACCACCTCGCGCGCGGTATCTCGGACCCCAGAGTTGCGACGATGTCTCGGGCGAAACGTGCTTCGAGGAAGTCTCAGGCGAAACGGGCCGGACCACCTCGAGCGCGGCGTCTCAGAGCTCCGAGTTGCGGGGGCTTCCTGGGGACTCCTGGGGCCTCCTGGGAACCTCCTGGAGCTTCCTCCTGGGCCTCCTGTGGCCTCCTGGACCTCACCTGGGGCTTCCTAAAGCCTCTTGGGGCTTCCAGGGGGCAGACCACCTCTTGGGCGCCATCTCGGGGCTCAGAGTTCGGAGGATGTCTCAAGCGAAACGGGCCGGACCACCTCTCGCGAGGCATCAGAGAGCGCAGAATTGCGAGGATGTCTCGGGCAAAACGAGCCAGACCACCTCGCACACAACATATCAGGGCTCAGAGTTGCGAGGATGTCTCAGGCGAAACGGGCCCGACCACCTCTTGCGCGGCATCTCGGAACCCAGAGTTTCGAGGATGTCTCAGGCGAAATGGGCTGGACCACCTCTTGCGCGGCATCTCCGAATTCAGAAATGCGAGAATGTCGCAAGCGAAACGCGCCAGACCACCTCGCGCACGGCATCTCAGAGCTCAGAGTTTGGAGGATGTCTCAGGCGATATGGGCCGGACCACCTCTCGCGCGGCATTTGGGAGCTCAGTTTGGAGGATGTCTCAGGCGAATCGGGCCGGACCACCTCTTGCGCGGTATCTGGGAATTCAAAGTTTGGAGGATGTCTCACGCGAAACGCCCAATCCCAGACAACTCAGAAACGAGAGTTGCGAGGATATCTCAGGCGAAACGGCCTGGACCACCAAACTTTTTTGAGGACGTCTCTGCTTTGATTTCCCTCGGCCAGAGTTAGCTTCTATCACAACAGCACCCTGTTGAGCAAGCTGCTTGGGGAAAAAAAACGACATGCATACGCGCGTGTCGTCGCGCGCGGTTACCAAAATCCTTCAGAAACCTTTGGTGTCGGAAAGATTTCAAAATCGAGCGTCCAGAAACATATGAAACACAGGGCTTCGGAACATGGATTTCCCAAAAAAACAACACAACAACACAACAAAACAAAAAGGAAAAAAAACAAAACAAAAAAAAGGGGGGAAAAAAACGCGATATTGCGAATTAGAACCATTACCAAGCGGGCTTCGAGCGCGCGCATGTCGAAATCGTTCGAACGCCCGTGCGCGCGCGCCGTCGCGAGAACCCCTTGCAAAAAACGGGACGAAGTGCACACGCGCGCGTCGTCGCGCGCGCATGCCGACATCCTTCAAAAACCTTCGTTTTCGTTTCAAAATCGAGTGTCCAAAAACATAAGATGTACATATATATACACACATACATAAGTATATATATATATATAACAACAACAACGATTCGTTATTTAAAACACTTTCGGTTGTTCAAGATTCCTTTTTTTACTGAACAAAAAACTACCAAACGGGCTTCGCGCGCGCGCATGTCGAAATCGTTCGAACGCCCTTGCGCGCGTGCTGTCGCGAGAAACCCTTGCAAAAAACTGAACGAAGTGCACATGCGCGCGTCGTCGCGCGCGCATGCCGACATCCTTGAAAAACCTTCGTTGTCGGAAGGATTTCAAGATCGAGTGCTCCAAAAACATCCAAAAACACAAGGTTTCGCAACACGGATTTTCAACAAAAAACGTGCGCCCGCGC